TTTTTTTTTTTTAAAAAAAAAAAAAAAAAAAAAAAGGATAAAACAAACCGTAAAAGATAGGGAAAAACAAAGGGTGTTCCCCCCCACATACCAAGCAAGTCTCCAGAGGACACCAATTAGGTGTCCTATAAGTTAATTCAGACACTATCTACCTGGAGTTATTGTCAGATCCCACAGGTTGAGGGCTCAGTACCCCAAGACTGGCATCCACTTCAGATGCCAAGTGCAAATAGTAGGTTCACCTATACTTCAAATAGGCTATAAAGTAGGGCTTCCGCGACTCCCACCTTGGGTTCTATTAATTTGCTGCAGTGGCTGACAGAACCAGTTTATTATATTGTACTTTCTTTCTTTCTTTCTTTCTTTTTGATGGCTGGCCTGTACAGGGATCCGAACGCTTGACCTTGGTGTTATCAACACCGTGCTCTAACCAACCGAGCTAACCAGCTAGCCTATTATAAAGGATATTGTAAAGGATACAGAAGAACAGCCAGATGAAGAGGTACATAGGGCAAGACATGGGGAAAGGGGTGCAGACGTTCCAGTCCTCTCCAGGCACACCACACTCCTGGCACCTTCTCATGTTCAGCTATCCAGAAACTATCCAGAAGCTCTCGGAACTCTGTCCTTTAAGTTTTTATTAACTCTTCATTACATAGGCATGATTGATTACATCACTGGCAATTAGTGATCAATTCAACCTTCAGCCCCACTCCCCTCCCCGGAGGTTGGGGAGGTGGGACTGAAAGTTCCAAACCTCTAATCACAAGGTAGATTTCCCTGGCAACCAAGCCTCCACATCCTGAGTCTATCCAGGAACCCCCAGCCATCAACCACCACATTAGCACATAAAGATACTTATCGCTTTGGAGATTCCAAGGTTTTTAGGAGCTGCTGTCAGGAATCAGGAGCAGAGACCAAATACATATTTCTTATTGTATCACAGTATCACGACAGCCTCGTTGAAAGACAACATCAGGGCAGAAACAGGCATTAAAAATAGGAGACTAGAAAATATACAAGCTCCTAAGAGTTTAATAGCAGATTTTCTTTTTTAGTGATACATAAAATAATGATGAACTTGCAACTGATGGTGTCTTTGATTTCATGAAATGAAATGCCTCACAGGGCTGTTGGGAGGAATCACAGACATTTACAGACATTCTGTAAATGCTTAGGACAGTGGCTGGAACACAGAAAGTATTATGTGTTGACTATTTTTTCCATAACTACACACTAAAACTCAAAACGTATGCCACCTGGTTTTAAAACCCAAAACTTAAGTACTCCAACTTCTTAAAATCGCTTCATTTACATAAAATGGTCAGCTAAAATAAGAGAAACAGCAGGAAAGATCAGTGTAAAAAGGACTGGAAAAATGAAACATAAGAGGAACAAACACAAACAGACCTGGGAAAGTAGACTCCAGGCTTGTGGTTCTGTCAGGCAATTGAATGAATGCTATCTGGGTACTGTTCACTGCAATTTTATGTGTGGCTTGTCTCAGGCCTTGAGCCCTTTCGACCATAAAGCTCCAGCACTAATAAAACTGACTACCTGCTAGAAATGGGCATTCAGAAAGTAAAATTGAGTATCAAATGAAATTAAGCAAATTCCATATTTTTAATATAAATTCTGTACAAATCCTAAACTCAATACTTAGCTTGCCTAAAAGCTTGTAAAGCTGCAAGGCACTGGGTTGGGAGCTGGAACAGAGACACCTTTTACAGTTGCCATCAAAGCACACTCATGAGATGAAACTGCATCAGTAAATACAGCCAAAATGAAATTACAAGGTGATTTTTAAACAACAGCTGAAGAATGGCTTGTTATACTTATATCTATTTTTTCTGGAACCTAATTATCACTCTAATGTTTTATTATACACCATTCATGAATTTCAACAGGCTAAATATGACAGATACCTGAAAGGCGAATTCTCTCCACTTCTGTATGCGTTTAACATTTTCCAAAATAAAAAGTTAAAAAGGGCTTTCAAAAAGGAAAAACTGTCCTTTAATTTCAAGAGGCAAGCCCTGTCATAAACCACTTCTAACCAATTTCAACACTTTTATGAGTGATATTGAAAATGTTACCCTAAAAAAACTTCCACTTGAATTTCAAAGATGCTAAAATTGAGACCACACAAAAAGGAAAGAGTAGTTGAGAATTGTAACAATGACAGACATCCTCCTCACTATAGAAACTAGTCAAATCCTGGGTTACTTTTAAAGCACACCTAACATACAATTAAATGGCTTGGTAAACCTGATCTGAATTTACGAGGCTTATAATAAAAGTTCGGCTTTTATACAAACTGTGGACTCCTTCCCATAAGCTCATAGGGTCTAATCTATGAGACTCTGCCCACACCTAGGACAGAAATAAATGAAGTAACTACACAATTAAGAGACAAGTCTCCTTGATCACTATTAGCCCAACCTTCAGTCACTTTTCACTGATTCCCAATCTGGCTCCAGGAAAAATAGAAGCAATTCTCTAAACTAAATAGCAAACACAAAGATAAATATTTTCTGAGCCAAAAAAGAAGACGTTTAGAATGAAAATCTTGATCACAGATTTGGTCAAACATCAAAGGCAGTTAAAACATTAAACTTGAAAAACTAACTAAAGATTAAGATTCAATTGTGAAATAGCACTAATCTGTATCAAAAAAAATAAGGAGGGAAGACAAGGACTCCAGCCAGTCTCTGTACTGCTCCTCCTAACACCCAGTCTTACACTCTTAGTTTTCCTATTACTCTCTGACCCACAGAAGTGGGCAGCTCTTCTGCTGAGATTTTTTGCAGGGAGGGGGGATGGCTGGCTGGTACAGGGATCCAAATGCTTAGTATTACCAGCAGGCAGCTCTTCTCATAAAACACAAAACATATCTGAGCTACTGACCACAACCACATGGGTGTTTTATCAGCACCAAGCTCTAACCAAGTTAACTTAAACTGAGTTTAAGAAAACTGACAGTTGGGGCCGGCCTGTGGCTCACTTGGGAGAGTGTGATGCTGATAACACCAAGGCCATGGGTTGGGATCCCTACATAGGGATGGCCAGTAACTGCTCATTTTGGAGAGCGTGGTGCTGACAACACCAAGTCAAGGGTTAAGATCCCCTTACCGGTCATCTTTAAAAAAAAAAAAAAAAGAAAAAGAAAAGAAAACTGACAGCTTACTGAGTTTTAGTTACTCAGTATCAGGTGTCTCACCTATCACTCTGGCTAATATAGCACTAACATAGCACACATCAGAGCCACACAGGCTTCCCGAATACCTACTGCAGTCCCCCAGCCTGGCCAGCCTTGTGTTCATGTTAGCATCCTCTGACTATCACATACCCTGACTCTGAAAATAATCCATGTTAGAAATCTTTGGATTACACGGGGTCAAAAAATGCTTTTCTAAAACTCAACTCCAGAGTAAATATCCAAGGGCTCAAAATAAGCTTTAAAACCAAAACTTAGATTTTAAAATATAAGAAAAACTGGTGTGTGTGTTAAAAAGAACACTGGTCTGGGCAGGAGAGTCTGGTGGGAATGCCAGCAACACTGACCCACTGTGAATTCTCAGCAACCTACTCCACCTTAAGGGACACATTTCCTCAGGGGAGAGTGGTGCTTAGACTAGATGTTTCCAAAGTCATCACTAGTTTGTGTTGTCTTTCCTGCTTTTCATGATAAAATGTCTTTTATCTTATGAAATAAAAAACAGTAAAATAATGACAATAATTGGTAGCTCTTTAAAAATATATTTAAGTTAGATTTTCTTGGTGTATCATTGGCTACTTCACCAGTACTGTTGTTTTCCGCACTTTAGTACTAACTTAGCCGATATTGTGGAGGAAATGTTTGATGTGCTACTAGCCTGAACAATTAAAATGTCTAAAAACAAAAACAAAAACAAATGAGATCAGATCAGCTACCATCAGAAGTCACTTCAGGAGACAGGCTTTCTCAACCAGGAAGCAGAAATAATGCCTGTAAAACCAATCAAGGTAGAAACGAAGGCAAAACGAGCTGTAATCAACAATTAAAATCTAAGGGGCCGGCCCGTGGCTCACTCGGGAGAGTGTGGTGCTGATAACACCAAGGCCACGGGTTCGGATCCCATATAGGGATGGCCGGTTCGCTCACTGGCTGAGCGTGGTGCTGGCAACACCAAGTCAAGGGTTAAGATCCCCTTACCGGTCATCTTTTAAAAAAATAAAAATAAAATAATAATAATAATAATAATAATAATAAAAAACAATTAAAATCTAAAAGAACAATTTGCCAACTGGATGGTGGCCTGCCGTACAAGCTTAGGAAAAAAGAGAACGACACAGGAATTTGGCAGGGTGGCACTGTCCTAAGGAAGTCTACAGCGGTAGACATCTCTGCAGGGCAAGGGGGCAAACTCGCCCGGCTCTGCCACAAGCTGCTCCTCTGATTCGGCCCTCTGAGAGGTCTGGCTAGACATCTCTGGGGACAGGTAGACCCGCAAACCTGAGCGTTAGTCCTTGGACAGGAACTGCAGCGTCCAGCTTTCGCTCTTCCCCCAGCTGCTACTCTCACTGCACACCCAGCTCGTGTATGCCTCTGCCCCTATCACTCTCCCGAATTTTTGGCTGTAATAAAAACGACTGGCTCCCGAAGTGATCTCCATCCTGCCTCCGCCCCCCCCCCCCCCCCC